AATCGTTACTTTTTTTGTTCAGTACTTGTACTTTTACTTGTACTTTTTACTCGTTACTTTTTAAAATAAGAACTTTTTACTTTTTATTCGTTACTTTTTTTAAAATTACTTGTACTTTTACTCGTTACTTTTTAAAAGTAACGTTGCCATATGTGACCAGTAGCATTACCCTAAACAGCGACGAGAAATATTTCAATTGTTTTCCCTTATTGCTAAGCCTACACCAATAGACTCTAAGAATATCCTCCAACTTAAATTATTTAGGATCAGGACGCGTCTTTAAAACAAAAATAATAAAATTTAAGTTTGAAAATTGAAGCATATTTGATTAAAAGTGATAAAACTGAATTAATAAATGTCAAGCACACTTACAGAATTTCGAATAGACTTTCGATTGTCAACACACACGCCATTTGCCGACTCGCATGGAACTCTGGGAAGTGAGCTAGTTAAGATGAAGTGTACCTTAAACAACCTTAAAACAAGCTTAGGTATAAATAAAATGACCTCATACACCTCAATAAATACCTCACTCTCTTTAGTTGAAATAAGGTATGTTTTTTTATACCTCGTAAATACCTCACTCTTGTTAGTTGAAATAAGGTTGATTTTTTTCATACCTCATAAATACCTCTTTTGTTATAAGTGTAAGAAAAACAACCTCGTATACCTTCAAAATCACCTTATCAGTCTGGTTGATTTGAAGTGGATTTAAGACAAGATCAAAATAAGCTTAGGTATAAGTAAAATGATTTCATATACCTCAATAAATACCTCACATTCTTTAATTGAAATAAGTTAAAAAATTTTATACCTTGTAAATACCTCATTCTCGTTAGTTGAAATAAGGTTGATTTTTTTAAACTTCACAAATACCTCTTTTGTTACAAATGTAAGAGAAACAACCTCGTATACCTTCAAAATCATCTTATCAGTCTGGTTGATTTGAAGTGGATTTAAAACAAGCTCAAAACAAGCTGAAGTGTATATAAAACAACCTCGTCAACCTTAATTACAACCTTTACTAGGTATAATTTTTATTGCTATTTTCTCAGCAACCTCAAATATACCTCAAATCAACCTTGATACCTCAAAAATACCTCATATCAACCTTAAATATACCTTAAATTTTCGTAAGGGGGTGATCGAACGCAAGCCGAAGTTTTTTCAAGTCCAGATCGGAACTCAGAAGAAATGGATCTCCATTGATAGACTTTAGCCTGCCCATTCTTTTTCACAGATTAAAGAGGCTCCAGTCATCCCGCCGCCGATACAACCCGTGAAGCCTGCTCTTAAAACGTCCACAACAACTTGGTCCGATCGACACGTCCGTTTCCGGATTCCCGTGTCTTAGCGTTCTGGACTGGTAGGGGAGTCCTGTGGCGTCATCACAAAAGTTTCCTTCCCTAAAATGCAACGCGGCTGGAAGAAATCGATCAGATATATGCAAATCAGCTTTCTCGAACGGTGCGCGCCTACACTCAACTGGTATAAAAAGCAGCTCTCCGTTGGTCAGCATCCCACCTCCCAGTGATGATCTCTCTTTTCCTCCAATGACTCACCACGATAAGGACTTATTTTCTTCAACAACATATGACCTATGAACTATTTCGACTTATTTACCTTACGACTAAACAGATTCGATGAATCGGTAAGTGGCGCTTCGCGCCAAAGGCCGAGGTAAACAAAATTTCCAGCGTTCCAGCGGTCAGCATCCCACTTCGATTAACCAGCCGAGTCCAGAAGTATTCATGCCTCTTCCACTTACTTAGATGGTTGATTTTACTTTGTTAACGCTTTTAGAATTTTATTTGTTTATAAGAAAATAAACAAGTCATTTTTACGAAAAGTTTCTGGTGTCTTCTAATTGCTAAAGATCAAATTTTCACGTACTAAGTGCTTATCTCAATTTTTTTAATGGTTAATCTCGAATATGTTAGTTGATTTGCGTTATTTATTAATTAAGCAACGATTTCAGACACAGACGTACTTTCTCCGGATAAAAATACTTTTTTCCTGACAGGTTTTGAATCTCGAACTTCATAATAAATGAGAGGTAGTTGAAATATGGAAAATATGATCGAAGTAGTTTAATCTGGGTCGGTCAGTTTATGCCTTTTAATGTTAAAATAACTGTTGGTGCATTTTACCATATTTTGTAAACTTTTTAATCGAATCGAAAATTTATTATACACTGTAATAAAGCTCATTAAACCAAAAATAATTTCATGCAAAAAGAAATTTTGATAATAATTTTCTATTATTTTATTTTATAATGGTCGAAAAATTATTGAAATTGTAGTCTTGAGAGAAAAAAATAGAATTACAACTTCTGTAAGATATAGCTCAGATATCATTCGATCGATTTTGTTCATATTTTCTCGAAAAATTACATGGTAATTTTCTTAAAATTACATGGCTTATAATTATTGTAAGACTGTGTACGTCTTATAATTCAAAAAATTTTCTTCCACAAAACTAAATTCAAAAGCGAGTGAAAGGATGTAGGAATTAAGGATCCGAACTGTTGAGGGACCGGTTGAAATTCCTTACAAGAAGTGAAATGTTTTTTAATTGCTGGGGTTTTTCTTATATATATTTATATGTGTTTGTAATACTCCGCAATTTAAGTAAAATAATTTTTCACATTTAGTAAATATTAATAATTTTACTAAAAGTTAACATTTAACAATATGAACGAAAAAATATGAAATTGATTTTTTAGTATATTCATGAAAGTTGATTTTTTAAGAATTAAAGGAAAACTGTTTCTTTAAAAATTCTTTTTAAAAAACTTGCAAAATGAGATAGAAATTTGTATTTTTAGCCCGCAAAGAATTTTTTTCGTAAATTACGCGTCGTCAGACATGAAACAAAATAATACAAAAATTATTAAAAATTACGATTTTCTGCATAGAGTTTTATTTGGGTAATAACATTTTATAATTTTGTATTTTGCAATGAAAAATTATGTTCTTTAAAATTATGTAAAAAATTGTATACTTTATGATGCAAAATTTTTCGACTAATATTAAATAAAATAATAACAAATGATAAATGTTCATTAAAATGTATTTTTTGCATGGAATTATCTGTGGATAAAGGAATTTTATAATTATGCGCAAAAATTTTTAAATTCTTTTTAAAAGTTCTCTAGAAATGGCGAAATGCGCAAAAAGTAAAATTAACGTTCAGGTGTTCAAACTTTGGACTGCTCTTCTGACCAAACTATAGGGACCATATTTTCCAGATAGCGTTTACCTCCTGCATTTAGCGGGTCAGAAACCAAAATCTATCGACGAAAAGGTATGTTAAGAGGAAGTGCGTTTTAGTGTCTGATTTCATAACTTAAAATATCCGGTGATAGCTGAGTGCGCTAATTGTTTTCTAAAACGTGGTGGACTGCGTTGCTAACATCTTATCACCCCTTGACTGAGGCAGTGGTTTCCAAACATGATGTTACAACGCCTCCCTTAAAAATATTTAATCATTTGGCGCTCCCCCCCCCCTGAAGATTTCATAAAATAAAAACACAAACATTTTTACTCTTATGAAATTTATTCATACAAACTAATGGAAAACGATATTTTATTATTGTTTTTAATGAGATGGATGTGCTTGTCTATTAGCTCAAAGTTTATCAAATCTTGGTGTTTGTGACGATATAGCTACTCGTAGCTCCTTTTCTACAACTAAACGAGCTCGATATTTGGATTTCATTGCAGCCAAGGTAGAAAATCCCGTTTCGCATAAATATGATATTGCGAACGGCAGCAGTACTTTCAAAGCTTTGTTTGACAAAGTGTTATATTCTGTATGAAGATTCAACCAGAATTGAACCAGAGATACAGTCTGAAATTTATGTTTTAATGTAGTATCACAAGATAACTCAATCAATTTTTCTTTTTCAATACTTGTCAATCCAAATTCATCATCTTCTTCGTCGATAAATGGATTCTGTATCCACGCAAACTTTGTAAAATCAAGATCACCAAAATAATTCGAAAATTGAAGCAACAAACCATTCAAGTGTTCCACAAAGAGATTTTTGTTTGCTTCTATGTTATCTCGGGCGCATAAATTTAAACGTGGAAACATATCAAACTTATTTTTCTGCAAATTTGATTTCCATAGCTCTACTTTTTTAATAAATGCTTTCACTTTGTCTTTTTGTATAAGCAAATGCATTTACGGTCCCTGCATTGATTTATTAAGAACACTCAATTTTTCAAAAATGTCAACCAAATATGCAAGTTTAACGATAAAATTATCATCCCTAAACATATTGCCGTCTTCATTATGATTTTCCTCGAGAAACATGGCAAAGTTCAAGTATCCTTTGAATCATTTTTGCGCGAGATAGCCAGCGCACTTCACAATAGTACAGAAGTGACGTGTAATTAGCTCGCATATCTTCACACAGTTTTGCGAACAACCTTGCTTTTAATGGACTGTTTTTTATGTAATTTATAACTTTCGTTACTTTTGCGAAAAGATTGTTAAGTTCCTCGCTTATAGTTTTTGATACGAGAGCTGCTCTGTGGAGCATGCAGTGCGTCCAGAGAACCTCAGGTGTTTTCATTTTAACTGGTGTTTGAAGACAAGTTTTGTGTCCCGCCATTGATTGTGCACCGTCAGTACAGAGCCCAATGCAATTATTACACACTACGTCGGTCTCATTAAAAAATCTGCCTATTATTTTGAAAATTTCATTGGATGTGGCTCTGTCAGGAATTGGTCTGCAAAATAAGATATCTTCAATTATATTAGTATCGTCAACATATCGAACATATGCAATTAAATGTGCGTCTTTAACTACATCAGTAGCTTCATCTACTTGTATGGCGAATTTTGAAGTACGCATTCGAGAAACTAATTGGTCACAAAGATTTTCAGATATATCATCAATTCTTCTGCCAATTGTATTATCAGCAAGCGGTATTTGTCGCAGCTGATTCGCATAAGATTGGCCAAACATTTTTTTGACCATATCAATAGCTGCTGGCAAAACTAAGGTTTCTGCTATTGTGTGGGGTTTTTTACATTGCGCGATTCTGTACGACACTAGGTATGATGCTAGTAATGCATTTGATGGAATATGAAGAATTTTTTTGAAATTTTGCTTGTTTTTTGATAACTCATCCAATTTTCATTGAAGAAATTCTTGGGGCTTACCAACGTATTCAGAATGAATAGTTACAAGGTGCCGTTTCAATTTACCGGGTCTCATACTATCAGCAGCCAAAACTTTTGAACACAACAAACACATTGGTTTTTCCACATTATCGTTAATAATATTAGTAAATCCGAACGATAAATAGGATAAGTCGTATTTCCTTGTCTTGGGAGTTCTTCCTTCCTGTTCCTTGTGGCTTGTATTCCCACTACTTGTGCCAACTTCAGAATCTTCATTATTAGTGGATTTTCGCTTATATCCTATCAAAAACTTATCCATTTGTCTGGAAATATTAGGAATAATATTATATTATTCTAAAAAAATAAAACTATTAAATTACTTACTAATATGATCAGTGGGCAATCACGTCAATAACAATAGAAACACAACCTAACACTGCTGAACCAATTAAATATTAGCTGTGACACGAAACAAATTGGTGAGCAAAACGTGCGTCGATCTTTTCTGGATGTGTGGCATCCAGTGCTGTTAGTGCGCGGGCATCTGGCTTTTGTAAAGTTGTGTCGGTCGAGTGCCGCTAGTGTCGCTAAATTAACGACGGCCTTGGTTCAAAAGATTTGCCGAGGTCTAGGACGTCTAGGTATATGGATGTTAAGTTACGAAATGTTTAGTTGAACTATGCGCGATAAAGCACGATGGTATTTTTTCATTTATTCTCTCATTTTTTACATAGAAAACTTCAGCAGTAATTTGGAAAATTGTCCACTGTGACTAATTTTCGTGGCTCCCTTTAGACTAATCCGCGCCTCCCTAGGGAGGCGCGCCTCCCATTTTGGAAAACGCTGGACTTAGGTTTCCAGCATGGAGTTGCCTAACCAACACACAAATACAAAAAGCTGGAAGTTCTACAAAATAAATTCCTTCGGAGAATGACCGGTGCCCCTTGGCACTTGCCAAATAAATATATCAGGAAAGATCTAAATATGGACTCAATTGAAGAATTCATGACTAAACAAAATGCTAATTTCTTCAGAGACGCTAAGAACAGCACAACTGCCGATTTCAATTTTCTTGTTTGGTTGAATAACATAGAGGCTAATGCCGGCAAATAAAGTATTTATTAAAACATAATATGAGGAAACAATAATTCGCTCACACAGTGCTATACAACTGAATCAACCAACAACTAGTCAGCTTCTTCAACAAATATATATCTATTTCCCCTATCGGGAAGTCGTTGTATTACATCACGCAACTCGCGCAACTTATTTGAGAAGGAGAGAAAAAATGAGATTTTATTTGTATATTAGCAACAAATCTCATTCTAAATAAAGAACCAATACAGGATGTAATGATGCATAACCCAATTCTACACTTCCTGCTCTCTGACGGGATAATTTCAGACCACTACAATCCATAGTTTTTAGATACCCCCCCCTATACTATATCATATATGGATGCTCCCGAGAAGAGGAAATGAACAAGGGTGATTCTTAGCTCGGGAGTATACCACCCCTAGCCTTTAACCTAATTGTGCTCCCATGTAACTAAACTACAACCATACTCATTTGCTATTTTCATCACAGAAATACTCAGATATGACCTGCAAACGCAGCAGACTACCCAGTCATCAACTATCCTTGCTTTTCCCATATGCCAATTGTATAGTTGTAAATTGTAAAACGACGAACAATAACAAGAAGAAAAAAGAAAAAACAGAAACGTTATTTGGATGACAGTATGTTTAGCTTGCATAAAATGGTCACAAAAGAGTACCCTCAACACTCAACTTTCATGTGGAGTCTGAATTTTTACTTCAATAGTCTTTACATTTTAATTTATTAATATTCAGTAAGAGTTACTTAAGAAATTGTAGACCTAGGTTAAAAATGGATGTTTCCTTTCATAGCAGCATGATTAATCGAAAGTAGCTCTATCTCTAATAATGAATTATTTTATTATTTACTTATTAATGTTAAACTCATATCAGTTGTGCCCAATAATTAATGAATTAGTCTTCATTGACATTTTATAACATAAAATGTCTCCTCCGTTGACTATTACATCTCCTCCGTGGACATGGCAGAATTTAAAATATTTTAAATCTTGTAAAAAATAAAATAGAAAACTTGACCATTATTATATAAGGACATATAACAAAAATAAATAAAAGCATTTATGTAATTTTTATCACTTTTTTTAATTACTTTAATTTAAGAAATTTTTTTAGTCTATTTATATCTTTTCAGTGAGAATGACCCATATAACTTATAATACCGAGAAGAATAAAACTAGTAGTCAGTTGTTACAAACATTTGAATCGTGTTTTTATTTTTAAAATATAAAAACACATCCCATAGGATGAAATTCTACAAAATGCTTATTACTTTCTGCACTACTAAATGTTTTAATACATTTACATTTTACTAAATGCATTTATTTGCAATTGATTTTATTCAATTCAGCATTAAAATTGCATAAGAAACTATACTGACTTATTTCTAAAGGAATTAAGATTTCCGAAAATCGCTAATTTTTGAAGTAGTGAACTGTAAACAGCTGCATAAAAATGCTTATAACCTTAAAACAAATTATCATATAAACGTGAAATTGGGTTTAATATAATTCTGCTCAGTATTCGCAAGTAATAACAATCTGCTTAGTAAATAATTAATGTGGGTAAATTGCGAAAAAATAACAGATAGATAGATAAATAACAGATATGCAACAGATATCCAAAGCAAAATTGCTATTTTAAAAATATTTTAATTTTCAATGATTTATTTATAAGAGAAATTATGAACATTTTATTCAATTAATCAGCTTGCATACTGCTACGTTAAAACATATACATTTACACAAAATAAAAAGAATAGTTATATTTGAATAATTTACAAACAATAAAATATACTGTGCATAACCTGCTGTAACGATTCACCAGTAGCATATATGGCAGTACTTTTACTTTCGT